ATGATTCATAACATTCACGACCCAAAAAATAAACACAATCTTTATCATATGCATCACCATAATGAATAAGGCCAGCATTAGAAAAACGATTTAATAAATCAAAAAGTAATCGACAATTTATTCGACGTGTCTGTTCAATTTGATGATTATTTATATATGATTCAAAACGAAGACGAGCTTCAAATGTATCAAGTAAATAATCAGGAATGATAAGAGATTTATTCGTATTGTTACGTTCAAGATCTGACCACATTGATGATGGTATCACAGTTGAAGAATAGTCAGGATGTTTTTGCATTTGTAAACGTACGTAATCCCAATTTCTAAAAGTTAAAAATATAAGCCAATTACCGACATATTTTGTCTATATACGAATATTTATCAATTTAAGCTTCCTTATTATTGTTATTCGATCATCTCTTTGCAAAAATAAAATAGTTTTACGAATGGATCTATTTGAATTGATCAACATAGATCTTTGCGTTTCTACTTCTATCAATTTTCTATGATACAAAAAGTATTTAAAAATATAGATCAATATAAAAATGATAACACTAATAAATACGATGGAAGTCTTTCAACTGTTAACTAATTTATTGTTGCGGAGATACTACAAATCTATGGTAGGTTTTAAATGAATGCCATGGTTCACCTCAGGAAAACTGATTTTCAAATTTCGACTTAAAAACTTCCCACAAGGACACATCTCAATGAGAGTAGTGTATTGTGACAGTTTCAAATCTTGTGGTTGTTCCTACCTTAAGATACAGCTATATAGTAAAAGCGCATCTTTTACATCACTCATATATAACAGTAGATTCGATGTTCTTATTTCAAATTGGAAGCAAATCAAAAGGTTTAAAATTTCTACAATAAACTATTCTCATTAAGATCTACCTCTGTACAAAGCTTCAGTTCAGAATTCAAAGCTGTTTGCGAGGGAGACATCACGGTATTGATTTAAACACTACCGTTGAAGTGTAGTATCTACATAGCAATAATCTAACAGCCCAAATTCTTTACAGGATATTCAAAACTCATTCGGATCTACATGATGGGTATACTCACGATTAATTAATTGAGGGGTTCCTCTTGTTGGAAGAAATGTCTTTAACAATATATCCAAGTTTTCTCTTCTGGCAGAGTATTTTAGAGCTCCAATAGGAGAATAAATAGTATATACCGCAAACAACTATGAACTATGTGAAAGTGAACTTGATCTTCGAGAGCACGCTACCTTTATAGTCTCTATGGCGAATGACATACTGAACGTCTTAAATACCGAGGTCTATTAAGTTATATTGACCTTGTCAAAAAAAAATGATTCATTTATTTATATGAAAACTTTCATCTAAATGAATTTAAAGTACCGGTATCATGTTTTTCAAATCTATATAACAGATGTGTGAATATATATTGTTAATTATATTATTTCCTTTTTTTACTTAAAATATATTCAGTCTTTTTGGTTGTGTTATTTCTGTCTATGTTAAATAAATGTTGATATCTACACAAAAAAAGAACCTCGTGATACTTATTGGTACGTATTTTATTTGAGAGAATAGAATTCAATACACATTAAAATGTCACTTATTCGATACTTTCCAGTACCCAGGAAGGAACAAATAGATTTTCAATTTTTTTTTTAATTAGTATTAACAAAGCGAAGACACCATTTTTTTTTTCATGAAAGAAAAATACTTTTTCAAGTTCTACATAATAGCATATTTATCACTCATTATAAAATTTCAAAAAAGTTCTCGTATACTATAGTTTTAATATTAGAAAAAAAAAAATTAAAATACAAACTTGACAATGATAATACATGAATTTATCATAATTAATTCTGTGATTATAAAATAGTGGATCCTACTTTTTTAAAAATTAAAACATTCTCCAATTTAAATCTTAGCTTGTACTTTATTATTAGTCTCAATAATATGTATCCACTAGAGATATACGACAACATGAAAAAGAGAAGTTGCGCTGCAGTCAGGAGCGACGTTAAGAGAAAAAAAAGCCCGAAGCGAAACTAAAGATTATACTTAAATGTTCTATGGTCTTAACTCAATTATCTTATAAATCATACCAATCAAAACATAATTCAAGAGGAATGACAAAAAAAATTGCCATTCATTGACTAAATAAATCAAAAAAACCGAGTATTTACGCATGTTTTTTATACATTATACAAATACACTATAGAACAGTTGTGTCTAGATCAATGTTTAGACTGAATGCCCTTAGCATATTACTGCTGAGATACAACATTTTTATGATATATTTCTTTTATGAATGCCATGGTTTCTATCAGAAATATTGATTTTCGAATTTCCACTTGAAACTTTGCATCGAAACAGACTTTAACAGGAGTAGTTTATCGATAAAGTTTCAGTCTATATAACTGTATCTTAGGATTGGAGTAATAAAAAGATCTAAAATTTTCACAAGAAACTATTTTCGTTAAAGTCTGTCTCTGTACAAAATTTCAAGTTAAAATTCGAAAATTAGTTTTTCTGAGGAAGATCACAGTATTCATTTAAAACAATGCTGTAAAAGTGCAGTATCTCCGAAACAATAACCTAAGGACATGAATTCTTATCAGAATATTCATAGTTCATTTGCATCGACATAATTATAATATATAAATATCTTCATTAACAAGAAATATAATCAACAATTCAAAGATTTTTATGCAAAATTTGAAATTATCGAAAAATCATTTTTTCTTGATCTTTTAAATATAGTAATAATTAAAATAAGATAAATCTTACCTTGATATTTTCGATTTTTGATCTCTGAGAAGCATTTCAATAATTGGAATTAATCTTTCATCAATTAATTTTTGTCTTAATGTTTTTCTTAATTCTTCAATATGTTCATCATATAAACATTTAGCTTGTTGTTTACCAAACATATCAATAAATGTTTGTACACTTGTATGATTTTGCCATCGATCATAAAATTTTTCCCATGAACCAATACGAAAATCAGGAACATGTCGATTTAATAATCCTCGATATTCAGTTTGTATAATATGTTTTAATGATTGTTCATTTTTATATGCATCTGTATAATTAGGTGGAATATATTTTTTATGAAAAGATTTTTTTGTTGTTTCATCACATGCATATAAAGCAAGTTCAAGTACAGATTGTATATTAACATGTTCATGTGCTGATGTATGTATAATAGGTATAGTTGGTAATGAATAATGAATAGATTGTTCAAATTCAATAGATAGAATTGATTGATTATTAATTAAATCATTTTTAGTTGTTACAATTAAAATTGGACGACGAGTTTTTAATAGAGTATGAAGAAGGATTAAAAAATCCGAAATTGGTTTATTTGATGATAAATCATATACACATAAAAATCCATTGATATTTATTTTATCTTTTGAAAAATTCTTTCTTTCTATATTTAATTTTTCTTCAATACGTAATGTTAATATTGATATACGTCTTAAATAATTATCAATTGATTCATTATTGTCAGTAGATATTGATGAATGTTCAATTAGATGAAATATACCTTCACGTTGTTCATCTAAACGTCGATGTTTTATTGAACCCCAATAATACCATAAAGAATTTTTATCATTATTATTATTAATTGATAAAAATAATTGATAACTATCAATATTTGAATCAATTAAACGTTTACATAATGATGATTTACCGGATAATGGATGTATGCTAACTACAGATAGACAATATATTGGTAGTGATAATGACATGATAAACTATCCATTCAAGAACATTAAGAAAAATAAATCTAAAACAATAAATTGATTTATATAAATGTTTTTTAGTTAAATATTTTCTTGTAATTTTTGTTGTTTAAATAAAAGCCTTAAGGGTATACTTTAAAAATAAAAGTATTTTTATTCATAAAATGACTGCATTACATAGAAAGAGATGAAAAAGAATGTGTGTGAACATTGAGAACAAAATGTTATTATATATTGAGTCAAAGTACTTAAAAAAAAACATAAGAAATGGATTGAAGAATTTTTTTTGCATTGTCACACGCACTTTAAACACAAGTGGAAAAAAAAACAAATTGTTGACATCTTCACAAGAGATAAAAATCATTATTGGTTTATATGAATAATCCAATAAGATAAAGTATAGAAAAAGATGGCGTTACTTATGTTAAAGAGAAAAAAAAATTTGCAATGAGATTTTCATTATTATTCTTTCACAAGATAAACTGTATTTTTCATCTAGTCTGGAAAATCTTTGAATACTTTAAAAATAATTTCATCTTATACAATATTGAAGAAAAAGATATACCTTCGTCTCCTCTTTCGATTGGTGAAAACCGTAGGTCTCTAGCTGCTAGCGTTCTTGAGTTATTCAAAAAACAGTAGAGCACAGTCTATTTTGAAATGAATAATAGAAATTGTTGGACTATATTACATATCTAATAATGGTTTAAACGTTTTGTTTTTTGCAAGATTATAAAATGGTAAATATTCGTAAAGTAGATCTAAATAATATTTTTAATTAATATTTTAGTTTATTTTCTTAGTCGAATTACATTGTTGAGCCATTTCGTATTCGTTGTTCTTATTTAGAACTTGGTTAAAATAGGAAAAAAATACGTTTCATGCAACATGTAATATTAATAGATGTAATTCTTCATTGCCGCCCTTTATTATTTGCTTCTTTCAAAAATCATTGGAATTCGAACTTGTTACCAAAATGTCATCAGTGATTACTACTCAATGGTTCCAAAAACTTCTTGATACAAGTACATTAAATAAGATTTATGGTGAATTGACAGATGAAAATGTGTGTGATACTAGTTTTCAAACATAAATATTAATGTTAAAAAATTTTTTTTAGTTAAAAATTCCTCTCTTCCCTTCAACTATTTGGTTTGAGATAAATGAAAGATTTTGCTTTACTTTTTCCCATGTAGAAAATCAGTGAATTAGTCTCATTGATTATTTACTTGTGTTGAAGCCTGTCATAGAGACGTGTTTATCAATGAAAAAGTATGGACAAAAATGGCTTGTGGATCTTATGCATGGTTCAATTGATTCTTACAGTAAGTTAATCGCTTTTTTTTTATAAATAATGTGATACGCATCCTGATCGATTTGATTATGATTAGCACGTTTAAAGCGTAAATCAACATTTCTTCGTATCTGTTTATTTATCTTTTCTTCAAAAAAAAAACTCATCTTTGTTTTCGTAGATAGAACATCGAGAATAAATAGCGATCATACAGAGAAAAAGTTCAATAGTTTTTCATAGACCATCAACAATTAGTTATTTTATATCTTAAGAATCACCACTAGCACTAGCACTGGTAACATATCGATTGTTAAAATCGTTTGTTAAATATCGTATATCGTTGCGTAAATCACCCATACCACTTGCTAAATTAACCATATGCCCATGTAATTGGTTAATGTTCTAGTTCAAACTGCCAACAGTAGTAATTAATCGTTCAATAGTATTTGTTAGATGGTATAATTGATGACCGATTGGCATATTGGAATCATAAACAGATGTTGATGAATCAATTTGAACCATTGCTTGATGTTGTTTGATTAATTCGACCACTTGGTGTGGGTGGATGTGAGTGTGTGGGTATTCAGTTCATGCACACCCACCCATACGCACACACCCATACACACATCCTACTAAAAATTTTGCTAAAATTCATGCAATAAAAATCATTTCTGATACCGTTTTTTTTTAATTGATAAGATTCATTTCGTAAACTATTCAATTTTTGACTGAATTGGAAGTTCGTGCAGATTTATTTCATATTAAAATTGTGATGTAACATTGAATTGAATCATTTGGTTTTTTTTTAGTAAAAATTCAAATGCTTATCGATAACTGAATGAATTAGTTGATTTTGATGAAAAAATATCATTTAATTATCATTATTATGAAATACTTAAAACTATTGAAGATTAATTTACATAAATTTTTAAATATCGTGGTGAATAATTATTTCAATTGGCTATAGAAATTGAGATTATTAATAAAAAATTTCCTTGTGAACTATTTTACTTAGGTCATATCAAAAGTCTTTACGGTACTATAGCAATTTCTT